CTCCTAAGCGTATGTCCAATCTTTCCACATAATTGCTGGATAATGAGTTCTTGGTTGGTCCATTGCCGGAGTTCCCTGTTGCTTATCCTTTCTGACCAGCCAGCATCGAGTGAACGCAGATGTTGATAAAAGTCTGAAATCTGTTGGAATTACTTTTAGACGTACGCCAAGTCTCTGAAATAGTAGTTACAGAATCTAAATTCGCCAAACAAAGGCGATCAAACAGGGATTATTCCGTCATAGAGTAAATTTACATGATAAAATCACACTGTTCTCCGCAGTGCTATTTACTGATGACGTCTCGGGCACAATCTATTTCTCATAATAATATCAAGGCATTCCCACAGATTTCCCGCTACATACACGACATCTTGAAGTCGTTTAACAACTGACACCCCTCGATTCAGTTCACGCTGGAGGAAGAGTCCAACTCCAAAATATCCTTTCTTGATGTCCGACTAACAAGACGAGAACAGGATGGAACACTGAAAAGATCTATCTACAGAAAGTCGATGTGGAACGAACAGCTTACTAACTTTCACAGTTGGGTACCCCTATACACCAAACGAAATCTGATCCGTTCACTCAGCTACAAAGTTCCCAGAATTTGCACCCTGGATACCATAGAAGATGAACTGGATAATCTCAAGAGAATCTTCGTCGAGAATCGCTGTCCAAAAAGATTTGTTGCGAAATCTATGAATCCTAGATCACAAAGGCCACCCATGCTTAGCGTCCCGAAAAAACTACTCTACATGATCCTTCAATTCAATGGAGATTAATCTGCGGAAACACTGAAAAATCGACTGTCGCACTCACTTAAGAAGACATTCTTCGCCGCTGAACTACGACTAACCTTCTCCACAAAACCTATGATTCATGTGAACGTGAAGGATAAGCTACCACTGCTGGCCTCATCAATGTGCATTTATCAATTCACCTGCTCGTGTGGAGCCAGGTATGTTGGCCGTACCCAGCGCTCGCTTTACAAACGTATCTCCGAACACTTACCAACATGGTTTTACAAAGGAGAAAACGATGCCCCCGCAGCTCCATCTTAGGACACCAAGCTACACCGCAAACAAACTTCAAAGTCGTCTACAGAGTAAGAAGTAGTCATCCTAAAGGTGTACGAATCAAAATTCTTCAAAGTGCAGAAGCAATGGCGATTCACTTGCTAAGTCCTGAACTCTGCATACAGAAGTTCGTCCAATCACTACACTTGCAATGGAGGTAATCTATCTTATTACCCGACAAGTAAATTCTACCTAATCTTCTTTTTTCTGTCTCCTCATTAGTATTATTTCGTCTTCTCAATTGTAATATTTTACATTTTCAACTTTCTTGTTCTCTACCCCCACCCGATTCAATCTCTACACCCCACTACCACTGTTACTGACTTGAACAACGCTCAGTGTCTAGTCATTCATGTTACGTCATCCAACTTATTCACTCAATTTCAGTTCTAATTTAAATGGCATTATTCTCTACCCCACTTCTACTTAGTCTCTTCCTGTAATTACCTCTGTTGCTACCCTGACCTAAGTTGAAACATTTTATTCAATTATATTAGGTCATCTAACATACTAACTCAGTCTTACTTTAGTTGCTATCTGATTAACCTTGTTTCTATATTAGATCATTCTTGTATTACCTGATCAATTATCTAAACTTCACAAGCCTCATGTACACACACACACAAATAATTATATACAAATGCGATTGTACAGCTATGTGAATGAAATCGCCGAAAAGAGCCTCTTCGCTGAACGTCTTCTCTTTTTCATATAACCTGTATTGGACAAACCAGCTTTCCAGAGGAAGACTTCAACAGCCACGGGGACTCCATCACATTTACACGACTTAAGACTGCTTCAATGATGCTACTGAAGGTGTTTCATTGAACATTCCCAACGATTTTACCCCGCAAATATCTTTTGATTACGGCTGATACAATATTTCAACCATTTAACTGGTATACATGCTTGTCAAAGTTGCAAAGTCAGAACTTAGTGAGTTTTCCGTCACCATACAGCTAGATTTCCGAATGTTTGGCAGTCTATCTTATGGAAGACTTTTCAAAGTATACTTTGGAGGAAATAATTTGGAAAAAACACTAAATCAACTACTGCAGTGATTATTATTTATTGGTATCAACTTTTGTCTGAATAAATTTATACACTTTTCGATGGCGCAATCAATACCTTTACCAACAGTGATTTCTAGGTGCTTCTATGCTGTTCAGAGATTCGGCACGCTACGGAAAGCCTTTCATGACAGCTCGTAGATATTCATTTATACCTGTCTTCGCTCGATACTAAGGATCAGATGGCCTACCAGAAAGAATAAACAACAAGCTACTCTGGCAACGAACCAAACTTTTGTCCAGAAAATATGCAGGACAAAAATGAAGATGGTTAGGTGATTGCTGAGTGACACTGCGCGCTAGGCCTTCGAGTGGAATCAAATGGGAGATGATGAGTCGGGCGTCAGGACACGGGTGTTATAAAGAAGACTGTGTGAGAAAAAAAACGAAAGTTTACAGTCAATAGTGGAGTCAGATGAAAGTTATCTCAGAGGACAGAATGAAGTGATGGTGTACTGCTGAATCTTTAAGTTTCACTGAGACCTATATTACTTATAATTCTTATTAACTTAAAATAACAATAATAATAGCGTTATTTTGGGAATTGCGTTAACACACAATAAAGAATTCTCCAGAGAATTTCTCGCAAGATATTCCCTCTCCATATTCAATCTTCGAGTAATATAGTCAACAACAGTATATCGTATTACGCAATATCATACTGTTTCATACAAGACTCAGTTCTCTACGACGTTTCTCAACCATTTTATTCTTAAACTGCCGTGCAGTAGTAGGCTGAAGATTTCCTTGAGTTCATGCTGGATCCAAAGACATAACTGGATTAATAAAACAACAAGAAAGGATGGAAATTCACGTAGCCCAGTCGTCCAAGGAGGCCCCTCCTGGTTATCACAATTAAAGTATGTTCAAATCTTTTAATTAATTAATATATTTTTATATTATCTCGATTATAGCCAGTTGAGAAAAAAGATGCGAAATAATGATAAAGAATGTGCTCATTTTATTCTCTACCTCAACTCCATCGACTTCGAAAAGGCCTTCAACAGCGTTGACTGAGAATTAATTTGGAAACTGCTTCAACATTAGGTCTTTGTCAACTTCATTCAGCAGCTGGCTATATGGCGGTGTCACGTGTCGAGTGATCCACAACGGAAAACTCAGCGAGGCATTCTAAGTGAATACAGGAGTAAGAAAAGGTTGTCCACTATTATCACCGATGATATTCCTAACTGTGGTGGACTTATGGAACACGCCATGAGACTCCAGAAGATCTGGATTTTGCGGATGATTTGTGTTGGTCACACAAAATAGAAAACCCACCGGCTAAAACCAACAAACTGGCAGGAGAAGCAGAGAAGACAGAACTAAAAGTGAAAAAAGACAAGACGGAAGTCATGAAGACAACCAACCAACAACAAAACAACAGCAACCAGCACCAACCATTATCAACTGGAGAAACTTGAAAGAGATCACTTCCTTCAATTATCTAGGAAGGATGAAGATGTCAAAGCAGGTCAGAATCGGAAAGGCAAGATACGCCTTCATCAATCTGAAATCGGTTTGAAAATCTTCTGCTCTCACTTAGCATTAAGAAGAAAATTCAGATTTTCAACGCAAATGTGAAGTCACTTCTTCTATACGAGTCAGAAACTTGCACTGCGAGTCACGAAAAGGATTTTCAACAAGTTACGGATTTTCGCCAACAGTTGCCTTCGTTCTATATGGCCAGCGAGAAAGAATCATCAACAGGAAACTGGCAACAAATTAACCAAGGAGCTATCGTTCAATAAATATGCAGAAGTAAGTGGAAATGGATTGGTCATACGCTTAGGAGACCATCGAATGACATCGCGCGCTAAGTATTCGAGTTGAGTCCGAGTGGGAAACGACGAGTGGGTCGTCCTAGGGAGGACTTGGAGGAGAGTGTGCGGGTTCGGTCGGTCGGTCGGTTTTCGACATAGAACTTTGCACATATGTGCGGCAGTTCAAGTCGCCACACTCCATGTAGCACACAAAGCAAGAGAAGAAAGTAGAAGAAATGCATAATATAAACAGTAAACAGAAGTATGAGACAAAGGAATAGTAATAACGAAGAACAAAACAGTTTCATTGGAAATCATAAGTCACAAGGAGTGGATGCATCTGCGCCAGCCACTGAGAACGATTTTGATCCATGTCACCAATTGTTTCCAACCATTGGTTTTTACCGTCCCGAGGACCCCAACCAGGAAGTCTACATCTTCCTACGTGGCTTAGACTAACTGTTGTGGATTTCATTGACTGGTGCCATGTTTTGGTTTGACCGCCGCTAGCTCTTTTCCAGCCTGACCCTATATCAGCTAACATTGCCCGTCGAGGAAGGCGAATGGCTAGGCATACGTAACACATGTCCTAACCATCTCAGTCGATGTAATTTCACAGTCTCGTCGACTGATTTCCCCTCCTTACCTAGCACTCGACCTGCCTAACCTCAATATTGCTCACCTTATTATACCACTTCACACGGGAGATAGAACGCAGACACCTATGATCAAAGACAGCTAGTCTTTTCATGTCTTCCGCTCTCAATGGCCAGGTCTCACAGCCATAAAGGAGGACGGAGCGGACTGTTGAGCAGTACACACGCCCTTTGATCGATAGCCAGTCAGATATCACGTCTACGCCAGAGACGGCGTAAACTGGCATATGCGAAACTAGCCCTCTGTATTCGTGCTGAGATTTCGTCAGAGATCAACCCGTTGGGGAGGAGATGAGAGATAATGGGCAGTCGTTAGGCAATCGTTCCACTTGGAACCCAACGGATCAATAATAACATTCAGCAGCAACATTTAACGTTTTTGCTTTATTCAAGAAATACAAATATTAAAATCAGAGTGTTTTTTTTGTATATACTTTTTTTCAAAATTTTATTTCATTTAAACTCTTTCACCAATAAAATACTCAATAACAACATTTTATATTCAGTTTTAAAAAAGAATTTAACCAGACAAAGGAACACAGTGAGTGAGAATATTAATGACCAGGATCTATATGTATATATATATATATATATTCAATAAGGAAAGTAATCGAACGACAGAAAGATAAAGAAGTAGAACAGAAGGATGACTCAATCATCCTGTGTACTCTTTGTGTTCTTGTTTACATTCTACTAGTAGTATCCAGCAGAAGTTGGGGAGGGCTGGGGGTTAGGGGAAGAGATTTATAAAAAAACAAGACGCTCATAAAGGATATTCGAGTACATATCTATAGGTATATATATATTTACCTACCATAATGGAATATCAAGCAGAAACGATAATGTAACTTAAGAAGTGTATGAGAATATCGTCTTTCTAAAGAGTATTCTAAGATTTATCCTTGCGATTTCTAACTATACTACTGATATAATGTTTTATAATAGGGGTTTTAACTCTCAGAGTTAATTTTGAATTAGATTAGTATTCGTATTAGTATTAGTAGTAATAGTAGTGGTAGTATTAAGAATAATTCCATTACTAATCTGTAAAAATGATACATTTTTCTCACTTTTTTTTTTCTGCTAAAATGTTATCACACACACAAACGAATATATATAATAATAAATAATCCCATAAATATCCCCAAACAATCTAAGTCATACGCACTTAAATTTCAAGTCATTCATACTACTGATGAATGCATCATACACTATCCTTCAATCATGCATGCATACATTCACACATACATACAAACACTGGAACAGACAAACAGAACAAACAAACAAACAAATGGTTATTAAATCGCTTGATTATGTTTTACTATTTTATCATTACTATTATTGTCATTATTATCATGATTATTATTATGATTATTATTTAAGTTGTATTCTCCTCTGGGACTTGTTGGGATAATCGACTAACGAAATGTGTTTTCCCCAATGGTCTATCATAATCTTCCATAGACATTCGACGGTTCAACTGCATTGGTGTTTTTTGTAGTTTTAAATTACTCACTAAATGAAATGAAAAAAAAATGAAAAAATGAAATGTGAGGGAAAAAATTTAATACCATTTGATTGGGTATTTTGGGATTTAAATAATGTAAAAAAAGAAGAAAAAAAATAACAAACACACATCTTAATCTAGTTTATCAACGGAGAATTAAATTCGACGAGGAATAAAGTGCTATTATTGTTGCTATTATTCGACATTTTTTTTATTCCTTCACGTTCCCCAGTGGAACATAGGGCTTCAAGCTAGTGGCTTGAAGTTTCTGTAGCAATGTTTATTTTACAGGATGGGGTTGCTAGCCTTATGCCCAACCTTTCCTCTTCACCAGCATTATATCTGGCTTAGCGAGGTAAAGAAGTGCGTCGGCCGGGAGTCGAACCCCGGACCATGTGCATGGTCGGCGAGCGTCCTAACCCCTATGCCACCAATCGAATTGGTGTCCGTAATTATCCATATACACGGATACGAAAGAATATATATCATGTCATTTTACAGTCAATTTGTATTCTTGGATTTGGATTCGAAAGGGACGCCCAATATCAAAGACTTCAAGAAAATTCATTCTACCATTTACAAAAAATATCTCCCAAATAATGCCTACAATATCAAGACTGTTTGAAATAGATATACAACACAAGCCAACCAACACAATCACTTCATTCGATATTCTGCAAGCCAAAAGATCCAACAGAAAAAGAAGATAAAATTAATATCATTTACAATATAAGTTGTATGGACTGCAATAAACATTACGCCAGTCAAAGTGGGCGTCCATTACGAATCCGAATCCAAGAATACAAATTGACTGCAAAAATGCATAATAAATATTCTTTCGTATCAATTATTATTATTGTTTCCTTTAATTTCTAGAGGAACATAGGGCTTCAGCCATTCGTCTCCATTGCGTTCGGTTCTATGCTAGAGTCTTCACCTAGCTCCAAGTCTGCCCACACGTTTTCATCTCTTCTTTACATGACCTCCTCTAAGTCACCCTTGCACTGACGACCAACTCGCCACTTCCCTTTCGGGTTCCACTCAAGGGCTTGTCTAGTGATGTCACCTGATGGTTTGATTTCTCAGAGTATGGCCAATCCAGCTAACTTGATTTATTCCTGCTTATTTGTTGCACAATCGGTTCCTGGTCGGTCCGCTCCCAAAGATCCCTGTTGCTGATCTCTTCTGGCCGGCCATCTGATCTTCAGTAGTATTGAGCGAAGACAACTGTTAATGAAGGTCTGTAGTTTGTTTGAGATGCTCTTTATGACGTGCAGTGCAAGTCTCTGATCCGTATAGTAGCACTGACTGACTTCCCATTGGAGTTGAAGATCGAGATCTTATTTTCGTATCAATGCATGTAGATAATTACGGACACCAATTCGATTGGGATAATGTAAAGATTTTAAGTAGAGGAAACACCAAAAAGCATTCAGGAATTCCTAATAGCCTGGTACTCAAGTGAATCATCCAGCGATTCACAAACACATTGTTATAGACCAATTTTATAGACCAGCTAATAAAAAGTAAATCACATGACGAAAATGTTCGAATTCCAAGTCAATAAAATATGACCAATAGCAACGTAAATTAACAACTAGTCATGATGGTGGTCGCCCTAGATACAATTAAGTCATTCATGGAGAATTTGAATGAGTTCATTTTGTATTATCATCTGAGCTGAAGATGTTGTGTAGAAGGAAGACGAAAGCTTTACAATTAAATCAACCCGTTCAAATAAAACAATTAATTTAATATCATTGAACTGGGCTTCAAATCTGCTCCATTATTATAAAAATCTGCATATTCAAACTATAGTAAGCACTAAACAGTTTGTTTCGCACCATTTTGTGCTCTTCATCAGTGCATTCTCAAGTCTTCACCAGAGACAGAACCTGGGACCTTCATTTCACAAGTTGACAAAGTTAGAATTCATGGATCTTAGAATTCTAGTCCAAGTGGCCGTATGGTCAACGAGTTTGGTTTCGTAATCTGTAGATCCCCTGTTAGATCCCTAGCAGGGTCATGAGTGCATACAGCCGAGGAGTCCTAAACTAGGAAGAAATAGTTATCCAGTGCTCTCTGGTTTTCAAGGATTTCTCTCAAAGTGATGCTGGTTCATAGCGAAAATCCAACTATTGAAATATACATATAGGACGAAAAGAGGTCAGTTTTTTATTTCATTTTCTCTAACAGACTTGAAAGTTGCGTCATTTATGGCAGATATAACATACTTCAAAATTAATTGAACTCAAAGGGCAGTTATTAATTCTTATAACCATAATGGAATATTAGGCATGAATGTTATTTCATAGCTAATAATGAAAAAATCCAGAGTTTATTTAATAGTACTAACAACGTATTTCGGCTTTATTCTGTAAACTATGTTCACACACATATGAAAGAATTCTCAGCATAATTTTTTGCATATATTTACTCCCCACAGAGAATATTCAAGTAAAATATTCACTGACAGCATGTCATATGACGCAACGTCATTCTGTCTTAAACAAGACTCCATCTGATTGATATTATGATTATCCATGAAAAATTTCGATTAGGACATAAAGAAAATCAAAATAAGTGATGCTGCAAATTTACCACCGAGCTCGGCAATCGTATATGGACATATCCTGCGTGGTTACAAAGAGGTGGAAGTGGGGCTGTAAGAAGTACACTAATTTAACGTCTGGTCGATACTGGTCGCCTTATTTCTACACCATCCGCCTTTAAAGTTATCTATAAGGCAAAAAATGTGTGCGTCGGTGGCATAGCGCTTAGGACGCTCGCCGACCATGCACATGGTCCAGGGTTCGATCCCCGGCCACAGACGCACTCCTTTACCTCGCTAAGCCATAAATAATGCTGGTGAAGAGGAAAGGTTGGGCATAAGGCTAGCAACCCGATTCTGTAAAAATTGAACAGTGCTACAGAAACTTCAAGCCACTAGCTTGAAGCCCTATGTTCCACTGGGGAACGTGAAGGAAACAAACAACAACAACATAAGGCAAAAAATAACCTAGCGAAATCTTTTTATATCTCACTCATCTGTATTATTGGAGCTTTTGGCCACTGAAACATAAAAGCCAGACCTTTGTATACAGGAAAAGCCCGTTCAACCATTTCATCTTTCATTTTTGTCTGAATCCATGTATGCTGAACTATTATAATCCCCATTTCTACCTTTATCCTGTTTTCTTTTGCGTTCTGTTTATTCAATTTGTATATCGTTCCATAATTATTTCGAGTTTTAGCATCAATTTCCACGTTTATTATTGTTTCCTTTAATTCCTAGAGGAACATCAGGCTTCAGCCGTGCGTCTCCATTGCGTTCGGTTTTCTGCTACAGTCTCCACCTGGCTTCAAGTCTACCCACACGTTTTCATCTCCTCTTCACTGAACCTCCTCCAAGTCACCCTCACACTGATGACCAACTCGCCGCTTCCCTTTCGGGTTCCACTCGAGCAATGGCTTGTCTAGTGATGTCACTTGATGGTTTGATTTATCAGAGTATGACCAATCCAATCCACCTCCATTTCTTCCAAAAGATTTGTTGCGCAATCGATTCTTGCTGAGTTGGTTCGCTTCCGATGATCTCTGTTGCTGATCTCTTCTGGCCGGCCATCTGGTCTTGAGTAATGAGCGAAGGCAGCTGTTGATTAAGGTCTGTAGTTTGTTTGAGATGCTCTTTATCACGCGCAGTGCAAGTCTCTGATCCGTATAGTAGCACTGACTTCACATAGGAGTTGAAAATCCGGATCTTATTTTGATGCTGAGTGCTGTTGACCTCCACACAGACTTGAGAGAAATGAAAGCTTGTCTTGCTTTGATATCCTCGTCAGTTCCACCTGTAGTTGAAACGATACTTCCCAGGTTGGTGGGTAAAGTAAGTTGTTTCTTTCAGGTTCCTTCCATTTATGCTGATTGTTGTCTGTTGTTGATGTTGCTGTTAGTGGTGTTGTCCAGGAATTTTCATCACCTCTGTTCTCTCTATGTTCACCTAAGGTCCTATCTTTGATGCTTCTTCTGCCAACTTGTTGCTTTTCGCTTGCATATCTTCCAGTTTGTTGGAAATCAGACATATATCATCGCCGAAGTCCAGATAATCCAAGTTTTTTTCGTGAGGGTCCATTTTATGCCTGTCTCCTCATTGCCCGCTGTCTGTCGCATTATCCAATCTTACTCCTGTCCTCACTTCAAAGGATTCCGTTAGTTTCCCGTTGTGGATTACTTGTCATGCAGCATTGTCGTATAGCTGTTGGATGAGATGTATAATTGTTGGTGGCACCCCGTAGTAGCGAAGTATTTGCCAAATCACCTCTCGATCGACGCTGTCAAAGGTCTTTTCAAAGTCGATGAAGTTGAGATAGAGAGGTGACTGCCATTCCAGGCTTTGTTCAATGATGATCCGTAATGTGGCGATCTGATCAATGCATGACTTGTTTCTCCTGAATCCAGCCTGTTCCGGTCGAAGTTTTTCATCCAGGGCATGTTTGATTCTCTCCAGGATGGTGCGGCTTAGTATTTTGCTTGGGATGGGCAGGAGCATAATTCCGCGCCAGTTCTTGCATTGACTTAAATCTCCTTTCTTTGGTAGTTTGAATAATGAAACAGAAAAGCCAGACCTTTGTATACAGAAAAAGCCCGTCCAACCACACGTTTAGCTCACTTTAAACACCTATCGATTGAGCTCAGTATAATCCTATTTTATATGTTGTCTTGATACACTTATCAACATGTTGCCTACTAATCTGAATACTTTTGGAACTCCTTATTTGAGATTAATATATTTCATGAACTATTTTATACAGTTATATAACCAACTGATTTTACTGCGATTCACACTGTTATTAGAAAAACAATCATAACATCAAAAACAATCTTCTCGTTGAATCACTTGTTGTGATTTTCTATATGTTCGATTATTACCCTAAATTTTTGGTGTTCGTATGTTTTCTTCGATTGCTATGCTAAGAGCTGTTTAATCCCCTTTGAGTTGAATTAATTCTGAAATATGTCATATGCTTATATTCACAGTAACTCATGTGACGTTTTAGACTGTTAACAGGTGAACAGAAACCCATAAATTCGAAAAAAACTAACCCTCATTATCTAGTTAACTTATTCATTCTTTTTTTGTTCAAACTATTCAACTTTTTTCCAAACAATTACCAATAACATCTAATGTTTCATTCGGTCATTATTTTGTCGACAGATGTATACAGCTTACTTTGATTTATTGCCTATTACCTACATATAACAAGACTTTATTGCTTATATATAAGAAAGGTGATACTTTGATTGGATACTGGTCAGGAACTAGTGTAATGTGTCTAGTCCTATCTTTGGTGCAGACTGGATCCTGTCAGTCAGGTTTGCAATGTGGCCACCATTCTAGGTAACTTGCCATCACGGTGCACTTTGAATTGTTGATGCTAAATGGTTGGAGGCAATCGGCAGAAAGCCGATTTATTCAAGGTAGCAGATACGCCTTGCTAACGAGTGCCAACTAGCACGAAATCTAGGTCCAAGGTTTCCTGCTGATTGCCTCCAACTACCTAACATCAATAAGAAAGGTTAGCCTGTAACCTTAAGGAAATTTATGTACCCTCAGGAACTTAAGATTGGATTATGAAGACCATTAGCATACTCATTTTAGGGATATAGCATTCTGTTTATTGGTGACTGGCTGCAGATGTGAATCCTTGAAGTACTAATGAGAAGTCGTAATCAATTGGGCGTGAGGACAGATACTCAGTGATGGAGCTGGATGCCTGTGGTGACACACTGCTAACTGAGACAACTAATAATTCTTGGGTCATTCGATTTCAGAATATTAGCCGAGTGCCCGACGGGTCCATCTCTTAATCTTAAGGTCGTGATTCCAAATCTGGAAACCAGGGTTCGCAGTGTGTACACACCACTGAAGACTAGAAACCTATGATTAGACAGTTATCCAAAATTCCATGGATTTCATTAATCCTCTAGTTGATATTGGCTTGTAACAAAATTAACCTCATAATTAAAACATTATTTGTTACATGATTTCCTCATGAACTGACATCGGATAGAGAATCACTGGAAAACCTGCGAGTACTGGACAGCTGTTTCGTCCTAGTTTGGGACTCTTCACAGTACGCACTCACCACCTTGGTTCGAACCCAGGACCTCCTAGTTACAAGGCGAGCTCGTAGACCATTAAGCCACTGGGACCCGATCCAGTGGCCCATGAATTCCAACTTCAGCCAATTCACGATATAGCGTGAACACTAGCCAATGTCATCAGCGAGTATTTGTCCTCACACCCAACTCGTTGTACTCTACCCTATTCAGGTAGGTAGTTGCCTAGATTCTAGTGATCAGTGATGACCAGTGGGGTACAGAAGGTCAGGTGTGAGGATAAAACCTCGCCTATGACATTGGCTAGTGGTCGCACTATGTCGTGAATTGGCAGAAGTTGGAATTCATGGGCCATTGGATCGGGTCCCAATGGCTTAATGGTCTACGAGCTCGCCTTGTAACCGGAAGGTCCTGGGCTCGCACTCCGGTGGGTACTTACTGATGAAGAGTCCCAAACTAGGACGAAACAGCTGTCCAGCACTTCCAGCTGGTTTTCCAGTGGTTCTCCAACCGATGTCATCTCTTGATGAAATCCTGTAACAAATCAATCAAAAATCCCTAAAAGCCAATACTTGAATAAAAAATTATTATATTCTTAGAGCTTTATGGATAAAAAATAATGAGTTGTTCTGGATACGCTTCATGCTGAATGATTTTCAAAAGTATGTAAAATTATTACAAACTTATACTGACTTATATATACACATACATATAGATGAAAACGATATTACAAGTACACAACGTCAGTGGGAATCACATGCTTCGGTGAGTTAAATGTTTTATGAGACATATATAATTCTCGATAAAACAGTTGTAAAACTGATTCCTATCAAAAGGCATATGAGACTTACGTAATCCAAGGCCTTGCAAAAAGAACTGCATACTGTCAACCACTTTGTCCGGCTAGAAAAAGAAGGAAAATTTGATTGAAGTGGGGATTACGCAGTGTTAAAAAAAAGAGAATTGCGTTGAAAGGCTAACTCTGTAAAAGTCAATAAAATCTGTTTTTGTACAGTGTATACTACTGTATACTACAATGCATACAAGTAAGATAACGCTCACATCCACCAGTACTGGTTGTCAGGAAGCTAGATCGAGGTGATCTAAACGTCGGGATGCCATTGCACTTGTTTGAAGACGAGTTCATCAATGGTGTGCTCAGTGCTAACTCAGCTGGGACAGCCAACTCGGCTCAAATTACACCTAGCTACCTGGGAGGGGGTGGGGCGGCGGGAAACTGGAATTAAATCGTGTCAGATTTGAAACTTGCAAATAATACACTTCTGTGCTAACAAGCACTAGTGGTTGATTTGATTGGTGTCCAACTACTCATGTCGGTCAATCAATATTATATACCAGCATGCACTGCTGTCTGCTTTCTTGACTACCATTTATAATTTGAAGCAAACCACGCATTCTGATCTAACCAAAGGAAACTGTGGTGAAATTTTAACTAGGTCTGTATATTTGTTTATGGAGAATTTAATTCTTATTAATAAATGTTTTAGCATTTTCTGAGAAATTTTTTCATTAAGCAGGTGGTCTAGAAGCTCCATATTAGTTTGTTTATTAGATGTATCACACAGTCAGAGAAACAGTATTATTTACTGGATGACAAAGTTTCGAACAAAATTTATTGTTCATAATCATTTCATCAATTATAATCACACAACTTCGAAACTTGAGTTTTATAGTTTTCTTTGTTCTCTCCTATTTGTCATCGTAGGGGTAGTAGAATTTTCCAGATATCTGAGACAGGTGTTGAATCATTCCTATTACATGTATTTGCAGTTGATTCGATAAACAAAGCTTCTATTATCAATCTCTCCCTCAATCCACCCTGCTATTACATTAGATTTTAAAACTGTCATCCTATCCCATCCTATTGTATGGTTGTGTGTAATTGCATGTAGTGAGTGCTATAGCTGAACTATTCTCTAGATTTCTTATCTTATTCGGGTCAACAAATCTAGATTTTGCTAGGTTTTTATGTTCGGCTAGTCTGACTGCCCCTGTTCTACTACTCTGACCTATGTATTTGACCTGACAATCATTGCAGGGTATTAGATAAACTAGATCGTTTTGTTTTAAAGGTTCCACAGGATTGATCCTTTGACCGACAAAGCTTGTTTCTAATTGAGTTTGTGGGTGGTTTGAAGGTCAGTCACTTTTATTCCTGCCTGACTTGTTAAGAATTCTGCGTAAGGTTTCCGAGGCTCCTTCCTTGTATGAAGTTAGTACTGATGATTTCGATTTCTTATTGTTGGTGTTGTCTTGCGCATATCTGACATGCATGTTGTCATTAATATTATTATTGTTATCACTATCACTTCTATCATTATTTATTTTATTTTTACTTTTACATTACCTTACATACTTTCTGACTAATTTGTCAAGGTAATTATTAAGTTTCAAGGCTTCTCTTATATGCCTCACTTCCGGTCTTAGATAGAACAGGACATGACGACACGCACTCATTACATGCAATTACACACAACCATGGGATACGATGACAGTTTTAAAATCTAATGTAACAAGGTGGAGGGAGAGATTGATAACGGAAGTTTTGTTTACCGAATCAGAATGACTCAACATCTGTCTACTCAGATATCCTGAAAATTCCGCTATAGAACTCAAGTTTCGAAGTTGTGTGACTGTAATTGATGCTATGATGATTAACAATAAATTTTGTTGGAAACTTTGTCATCCAGTAAATAATACTGTGTGATACATCTAATAAACAAACTAATATGGAATTACTTACTACCACAGCGCCCAAGTTTTACACATATATTAATATGGTCTAGAAGCTCATTATCTATGAAAATGGGAATAGTAATGTTGATAGCTTTATTCTGAACAGTACGTTTATATACAGTACAGCATTTTCAGCCTGTTTTTTTAATCTTTATCCTTATATAGAATCTTCAATAAAACGTTGGTCTATTGTAAATCATATTATGGAATACTTATCCATATGAAACACGCCTCATTCCTTTAACAGTTTTGCCCTTCAAAACATTCCTAGCACCATAATGAAAGCCGTTCATAAATGCATCTGATTACGAAACTGGATGGTGAGAACTAAGAGTTCCGGGTGGAATATAGGGCTTCACCAGTACATCTTCATTGTACTGTCTTCTTTGTCGTCACTTTCAGTTTGCTGCACAACTGACCATAAGCTCTCTTTTAGATATGATAGAGAAGAGTTGTAGCTCAGGTGGATGATTTTGATATGGTTGTGTTCTCTGAGCTGGATGGTTAATTTGCGAAGCTTTCATTGCCCCTATACTAGGCAACATCTTCAGTGCACACTTCAATTTCTTGAAGTGCGCTTTTAGATTTCTCCACGATTTTATTAATCATCTCTCCTGGTGACCTTGGACGTGATTACTTGTTTTTGTGTGTTTTCACACCTTCTAGGCTACTTGTATTGGAACTGATTTTTTCTATGACTTCAACTTTGACCCTTTGTGTGTGAGGTTTCTTTCTTATCGGTTGATATATTTTGTCTATCTCGATGTGTCTATTGATTGATGATTCACTGGAATGCCAAGCTTCTAAAAATTCTCTAGCATTCTTGTTGTTTCCTCTGTCTAATATTTGAACACTGGTTACCCCAGTCGAATTGTTGTCCGTGGTTGTCTGTATGTAGTGATATGAGGGAGTGGATATCATGTCTTTTGACACCTAGCTTATGTTCGTGGATACGAAGACGAAGGGGACGTCCACTTTGGCCAATGTAGTGTTTCTCGCAGTTGATACAATCTATTTTGTAGGTGATGTTGGTCTTATCTTTGGTTGACATAGAATTGAGTGAAGTGACTTTGTTGTTTTGTGTACGACGTCAATTCTTTAAGGTATGAAGAGTCTTGTAGTGATTTCTGAGATGTCCTTTATATATATGGTAAGGCGAGTTTCTTAGTGGTTTCCTTGAGGGCTTTTAGTTTGATAGGTTGGCTTGGGGGTATATGTCTTTTGATGAAATTCCATGGATATCCGTTCTTTTGGAAGACGTCCATGAGATATCTTTCTTCAATTTTCCTTAAGGTGGAAGTGCTGCAATGATTCCTGGCTGGCTCTCTTGAATAGTGTTTGTATGCAATTCCTCTTGTGTGCTAATGGATTGTTGCTGTTGTAATTCAGGATTTGGTCTGTGTGAGTTGATTTTCTATAGACTTGAGTTTCTAATTCCCCTGTGGTTGTTCGCTTGACTAAGACGTCTAAAAATGGAATTTTGTTCTCGGATTCCTCTTCTCTGGTGAATTGGATGTCGTTGAAGACGTTGTTTATCAGGTTGTGAGTTTTATCTAACTCGTTTCTTTTGATGATTACAAATGTATCGTCTACTTAATGTGTCCAAATCTTATGTTTTCGAGCCTTTGCATCACTGCTTCTGCAATTAAACCTGAAATTGGCGATCCCATAGGTGTTCCTTTGACTTGTTCATATATTTGGCCGTTGGATTGGAAGTACGTTGTTAGACATAGGTTTATGCATTCCATCCAACTTGTGTGTTGCATTTTTGATCGTTGTGGGAGGTGTTCGTCGTTGCTAAGTAATTGCTCCATGGTTTCTTTTGCTAGTTTTTGTCCGATTGAGGTATACAATGCTGTGACGTCGAAGGATATCATTGTCTCTTGTTCATCTATTTGAATGCCTCTGATTTTCTCTTGGAATTGGATAGCGGATTTGATGGAGTGATCACAAGATTCCGTTAGGTGTTTTAGTTTTCTGTATAATTCTTTGGATAAATTATATGTTGGAGTTCCTGGAATTGATTCAATTGGTCACATGATGTCGGGAATCTTATCTTCGAAGTCACACCCAACGTGTCACTTCTCATTCAGTTTCTGCTAGTTAACCTTGCGCGTTATGTCACTCAATGAAGGTGTTACTTTCATACAAGTTTTAGATTGCTTAACCTGACGATAACAATGGGCAGCATTATTTGGCGGGGGTGTGTGTTAACTCGTGCTGGGAACACAAATACCGAGATTAAATGGAAACGTTTGAAAAAGCTTCAAGTATTCACTAGATCTGAATAAATAACCATGATCGTCGTGTTAACTTCACTTGTAAGCTCTCAACATACTGAATGAGTCCATGGTGAGACACTCAGTAAGTCATATACATATATATATTGCTTCAGGAATTAAAACTAACATATTTCACTAAAAAACATTAAAACTTACTCTCTCAGTGAGAACATTTGATACATCATCAATCATTACAAATTCACTTGTAGTCGACTGACCACTACCGGCAGAATCACGGCGAATTTTTTCTAGATCTTCAAATAACTGACGACATTTTTTATGATGTGAGCCGAGAGAACCAGCGATTAGCAGTACAGGACATCTAGTGTAGGGGGAAACACAAGGAAAACGAAGCATGTCGAAAGTATGTATTGACAGTTTTTTCACAAATCGATTCATAGAATACTAACTCGAGGAATATTAGTTTTTTAATAGTGAAGATCAAAAGTGTGGATGTCAGAATGCATCAATTTACTGGCTGTCCATATCAGATGTGTTTTTAAGAAAACACTCTCTTTAAGATTTTGAATATCTGGAATTAAATGAACTTTATTTCAGTGATTCAGTAGAGGATGTGAGCACACTGCGAGGAAACTGCCGAAGAGTTCCTCAACTCAGAGAAGTAATGGTCCTGGTACCATATTTCATTTCATTTCACAGTTGATATGGCAGCTGCTAGCTAGGAAGTCTTGAGAATAACTCCACTAAAGTTTCAACAGTTTATCACAATAGTCTGCCAACCGGTGGTTAGTGTAAATGTCTAGCTGCCGGGCTTGGTCGAAAACTAAGAACTGGGCACTAACTATAATTGCCGAACTAAGTAAAATATGACGATAAAGGGCATAATTATGAGCTGTAATGCAGTACATATCAGAGAGTATGGTTCTTACGGTGGGAGTTTCATGTATAAAATGAATAATTCAGTGGCAATATTTCTGACTTCACATCTTAAAAGAAGTCTTAATTCTCCCCTCCAGTAGTTCCTTAGAAGTACTACAAGCCAAAAATAACAAAGTCTGATAGGTATTTCTGTTTACAAATTGACTACTTTCGAGTTACTGGCTTGATTTCTTCTTCATCAATCATGCTGATGAGAGTAAATTAGAAGACGAGATGGATTGTACTGTGGAATTCCCTGGAAGCCATTCTTTGGAATGATGTTAAAGGATTAAAGGATTAGAACCAGTTATTCATTTTACTCAGGGGGTGACACTCCCTTCAAATATGAAACTGTACTCTTCTTTTAGAATGGGATTACTTACAATTGAAATATTATTTTCTAAAATCTTACACGTGACTTCTTGACAATCTGTGTATACTACATTTTATTATGGGATATCATGGCAACTATACGTCCATGGTTATGAATAACACGAACAGTTGAAATGACTGCGCGGTATTATACACTACTCATTAGTATGAGCTGTTGGGAACCACTCACATCAATAAGCAGCGGTTGATAGTCGGATCAGACTCACCTTAACACCAGATGTTTTGACTTAGTTGGAAGAACTAACCAAGTAAAACTGATCACTCACATAGAAATAGGGGATAATTTTAATTGCAGCTGGATGGCAAATAAATAGTTAACTGGTGATTACGAACAGATCAGTGGTGACGTCTGTGACAGCAGCAGGGGGTGACGCGAGTTTGAATCTCAGACAAGACATCAGATATTCATTATAATAATGAATGAAAAACAAAACGATATTGTTTTTACTGACGTTTCACTATTTAATGCTAATAGTTTTATCAAAGTATTATAGTATTAGACATCAGATAGTTCAAGCTTTAAGGTATGCATTGCTGATGAGTGCCAGCAGGCACGAAATCTAGGTCCAGGGCTACCTGCCAACTGCCTCCAGTCATTCACTCGCTTATCTCACTATTATAGATTCTTTAAATCATGGAAAATTCCCATTGTAACATATAGAAAATCAAAACAAATGATTCAGCGAAGAGACTCTTTTCAACGAATTTATCATCAATTTATCATTCAAAGTCATCTACAAGGCAAAGAGTAATTTACCCAAATCCCTACGTACCCGACTCATCTGTATTGCTGAGGCCATCTTTGGCTATCGAAACAGAAAAGCCAGATCTCTGTGTACAGAAAAAGTTCATTCAACCCCTCCAACTTTCATGGTCTTAATCCCTCCTCTATGCAAAAGTATGGTAATCCCCAATCATATTTTAGCTCTACCAACTTTTCATTTTTTCATTTTTGTCTATTCAATTTGTATACTCTTCCTTATTACGTCAATTGTTACTATTACTACTCTCACTTTTAATTGTCCCCGGTATTATTTCACTTGTTCCACTTGTCATTCTAAATCAATTCCTTTTTTACAACATTAAATTCTATGCTATTAAATTTCACACAATATTACGTAACGTCTTTATTTTATTCGATTTGTCTACTAATCTTATAATTGCACACCTTTTTCACGTTCTATCCATCCTATGAATTATTCTATTTTTGACATTAATTTGCTTTGCCATTTGACATTTAACTACGATTATAATCACAAACATTTTAGTTTTAATTGCATTTCATATTATTATTTTGTGCATTCACACCTATGATTCAATTCCCTCACCGGATATAACTTCTTAAAAAACAATATATATACGATTGTACAGCTTGATGATAAATTCGTTGAAAAGAGTCTCTTCGCTGAATCATTTGTTTTGATTTTCTATATATTATAGATTCGTCAAGCATTTTTTGCTACTTGCCTGATGACAGTGTAAAAAATTTGCAAAAAATCGCGTATAACACAGATAGATTGTAATTTTGAGATATACGAAGACAAACCCATTCACCTTATTAAAGAGTAAATAGCACTGATACTTACTTTAAGCTCGGAAGACTGTCAGAGAGATTTTTTCGCCTATGAAAAAAAGAAAAAAGTGAATAGCACAGATTATAAATGATAAAAAATTCAGTTTCGCAAGGCTGATCATAAACTGTCACAGTGGTTGAATAATCAAAAAAAGGCCATCTTGAAAACTGAAGGTCCTGGGTTTGATTTCTAATGAAGTCATGGATGGCTACTGCTGAAGTGTCACAAAATCAGATGAAACAGCTCTGTTCATTGCACTTTGTTTGCATCGGTTATCCAGTAGATGAATGTTTGTGCCAACCATGTGAAAGGCATAGGCTAGAAGTCTGGTCAAACCTCGCCTAGCCGACAGTAGGGCCAGTAGAGAAGGAAAGATAGGAGTGGGGCTAGTTACCTTAGCAGCTACAGCTTGAAACTCTATGTACCACTCGGAAAGCAAGGTGTGAAAAAAATTACTACCTGGAAAAGGGGCTTACACAGTGATTTTTGTGATTCACTTAATTTCCTTGTTGAATCCTATCTAGTAATTTATTCATACAGAAAATACAAAATATTAAAGTTGAGTAATACAAATGGGGATTAAGAGAAAGAAAATAAACCGAGGGTTTGGATAATCTACATAAAAATAAGTATACGATATTTTTATATGCCTTGTTTTTTTTTTAATATTCCACTTACAACACTTTTAGATATCTAAGACAGTTGTGTTCGATAAAAACTGCTGATAAAACTGAGCAAAACTTATAACAGCTTATAATGTTTTCTATGAACTGAACCAAAGGCCTTAATCCTCTTGTAATGAAACAAACAAATGCTTAGGCCGTTAGGCAAATAAATTATAAGAGGATTTACTGTAAAGAAAAATACTTATGTTAGATTTAATTTGTAAGTGAAAAATATGTCAATATAGTTGTTAGTATTACGGATAGTCGATGAATTTGATGAATTACGAATCTTCTTTGACTGCTGTGTTTTTTATACCTTTGCGTTGTGACTGGAAAATAAGGCTTCAAGCTTTAGCTTTGAAGTTTTAGCAGCGACGGTGTCGATTTTGCGGGTTAAGGTTGCTGGCCTCACGTCCAGCCTTTCCTATCTGCCACCTTTACTACCCGCGAAGCAAGGTGTGGGAGTGAGTCGGCCGCGGGTCGAACTGTGACTATGTGCCTGGCCGACAGACATTCTACCCCTGAACCACCAACGCATTGACAGTATTATATGCGAATAATAGGTCGAGTAGAACAAGGAGAGAGCCTAGCAGTCAGGACATTGGGGCGGGGAGGGTGCAAAAGATGTAAATTATGGATATATGTCTCAACCAATATAAAGTGGAGAAGATTTCGTCTACAGGGTTCACGTGACAGATGCTCCCTTGTTATTAATGCTTTCTTTTGAATTTTTTATGATTTTTAGTAATATCTTTTTCTTCAGCAGCCCTTTAATTACCCTTTCTAACTATTATATAATGTATTTTGGACACCTGTCTTCATGTTCTTTCCTTAACATTCTAATTTTCTGAGTGTCTTTCATATAACGCAGCCATTGTCAGTACATATCAATCTTCACCCCCCCCTGACCCTAGTTGCAATTCGATTATTCATCACATTTTTGAAAACATTTTGATGACTTAAACAACCCTAACTAATTTTTATTTTTGTTTGCAATCCTAAAGTATATACACACAAAATAATTATATATAAATAGCTGCTTTAGACTAAAAACTAAAAGAAAACTTATTTCTAGTCTATAATTCAGTTTTGATGGTCTAACAAGTGCTCAAATGCATCACATTTTGCGTGAAACACTCGAGTATCGCCAATTAGCCCAATAAACAAAAACGCCTTATTATTATTCCCTTGTGTCCCGAGTGAAACAACAGACTTCAATGGCACATCTTTTTCATCCTGTTCTATTCAGTCCTGTTTAGCTGGTTCCAAGATCGCCCATACGCTTTCATTTCCTCGTGATACGATCTCCAACATGTCACCCTCGGACTCACAATCAGCCCATCATTTCCGATTCGTGTCCCACTCTGGGGATAGCCTGACGTGTTCTTCTCAAAGTGTGTCCAATCAATCTCCTTTTCCTTCTGCATATTTTCTGAACCACACGTTTTTGGATGGTTCATTCTTAGAGTTTTCTTGTTGTTTATCGTTTCTGGCCTTACTTGCGTAATTAAATATCACTTAACAGAACCTACTAATCATTATAAGCTTTCTTAAACTTTAGACAACTTTTCTGCTTTGTTCATAGCTGTGTGAATTATTTTTGCTTTAGGCGTATAAATATAGGAGGTAATATTTAAAAGATGTTATTTGGTTGATGATAGCCAGAAGTGGAATGCAGAATGCGGGATTTGTCCTTTTCGGAACTATTTAGTTGAATCTACTCACATACTCAGTGACAGGTTGTGTTTCAACAGAGACCCGAACCCAATAGCAATCGCTTCAAGCAGCAAGGCGTTGTTTCGTACTTTCCGTTGATCGAATTTAACTAGGCTGAAATCATGGGTCTTTTCTGATACATCGTATCCCTGCGCGGACACTTTGACAGTGTCTGAAGGTCAACATGATGTCATTCAACCGATGATAGCTATTACTGAAGTAGTGAATTCACATCTCATCTTATTTGGGATTCATCAAATAAAGCGTCTGAGACAATAGCTTCTGGCTTAAAGTCTTATTAGGAACACCACTACTCACTGACAATGCAGGTAGATGTGGTGAAATGCATATCCTAGATTCCAATGCTAGCGATCATCAACCGAACGACGTCATCTTAGCATTCCTACCAGCCTCCGTAATGTTGACAGAGATCAGTCGATGAGAAAAATAATAGATATATTAATTCAACAAATAACTGTTGAAAAGGCCTTGGCATACTTTTTTAAATCATACAAAATGAGCTATGCCTGCTGCAATTACTTTCTTGAAGGAATTTTAAATAATTTTTAAGCCGTAGGTGTTAACAGCTCTACAACGTAAATAAATCCCTGTTATTTCACTTACTGCATACGTCACACACGGGAGTAAAATATGCAATAATATAAATGAAAAGTGAAATCAAGATTAAGTGTAAATATGCATGACGCAAGCTACTTTTGGTGTCGCCTTATTATTATTCTAAGTTGATAAGTAGTTAGAGAAGAAAAGTAGTAGAGAAAGGCATTTTTAAGTTTATTGTGATTTATAGTAAGTACTCTTTGTTTATTTATAATGAGAAAGTGGTGAACAAAACGTCAAACAGAAGTTTTAATCACTTTCGTTAATAAGTTGATTGTGAAGCGATGTAAATTACTCTGTGCATTTATTCCCCTTGATGAATTTTAATCAAGCAAGAACAATAGTAGTTTGTGCAGAATAATATGGTACCATCATTGTTTATTTCGTTGGCTTCTCTCAGCATTTTTACTACAGTATTGCATCCAGTTAGTACATTATCAATAAATAAAATTCTACATAGATTAAGGAAATCTCAGTTCATTATGAAAACAACATATTGGCATGTCGGTAGAAAAGCCAAAGTTGAACAGTGTTTGAAGGTGTTAGAAAAGTAGGTGCTATCATATTTACTAGCGTAAGCGGAAGAAAGAAACAAAGCAGCACATAACGGAAAAAAAAAGAGAGAGAAAAGGAAAAGAAAGAAAGAAAATGTTGTACCTATAAATGATATGAGTTGGAAAGATGAGATCTAATTGTTCTACTGACTATTTAATAAGTTATAGGTATCACGCCCAATGCTTTCTTTATCACACAGAACATGAGCTAAGTAGGGTATGGTTGAGTTTTGTACTTGCTAGTGCGAGCATATAGTTTTCTATATAGGCTTCTGGTTTTGCCTGATGATATGTAAGGGGAGAGTTGTGAGTGAAGAGGGTGGTGTGAGTTAGATAAAATGGATTTGGCCCATTTTTCACATGAGTCCATGTGCCTGTCAACCAGAATATTAACACGCTGGTTAAGTGGCACATTGCTTACCCTCTGACAACCTTTAACATCCTTTGTAATAAGGTATAGTCTTTCTTCAGTAGCCCGGGAAAAACTAAGGGGGAACAGTAGAGAATAATAGGCAGAATGCGAGAGTCAACGAACTGTTGGAGTAAGGGTTGGGTTATACCAGAATGTTTTAACTTCTTAATGTAGAAGATAAGATGGAATATTTTCTTAGAAATCGCCAAGATATGAGACGACCAGGAAAGATCAGCAGATAAAATGACGCCTAGGTATTTAATTTTCGACTTGGTTTCTATTTCAGTGCCATCTATGTTACATACCTCGTGAGAGCCAACCAGTTTGTTTAGGTCGGATTTATGCCTAAAGGTGAAATTGACTGTTTGGCATCTTGAGGGGTTTAAGGTAAGACCGTTTTCCTTGGACCACTGGCTGATTTCCGACAGAAAGCCATTTAGTTTAGAGCAGTCACTTTGACATTTGACAGTCAAAGATACTATCAGATCGTCAGCATATTTGACAAAATTAATGTCATTTGAAGATGGTAAGTCATGTAGAAAGAAAGAAAAGAGAAGTGGGGAGAGTACAGAAGGTTCCGCAATTAGTGAACAATGCTCAGAAAATTGCGCTTAAGGAGCTCGATTCTCCTCAAGTTTGCCGAAGCAATTTCTATCAAACGCTTGAAACCAGATTTATGTGTTCAGAAAGAAGCAGTTGTCAGTCTTTCCTTGCCCTGGTAACTGGATGTCTTTATTGTCCCGTTTGATTACGTAATCTTTGGCTTTAACCTCACCCCTTCCTCTTTGATAAGGTGCAATTTTGCTTGTCTCTTGTTTATATGATTTGAGTTGAACTCAGTACATTGTTACCCAATTTATTAGTCACTCAGTATCTTACGCATCTCTCGTCTTTATTACGTAACTCCTTTAGCATTGTATGTACACATTTACTTTGTTTAAACTTGAACTACCTGTGTAAAAACTACATAAGCGCAATTTCCTAAGCATCGGTCACTAATTGCGAAACCTTCTGTCAACTGACATCATGAAAAATTTGCAAGTATGTTAAAACGTTTCTGTACATGAACTTAGTAATAACTTA